AACTGGAGTTGGGGAAAAATGTCTCAGACCCATTAATTAGTTCATAAATCTCATTTTACTATCCTGAAATTGGATGATGTATTAATTATTCAATAATAGAACCAATGTAAAATTATCAAGTGGATAATTTAAACAGGCAGATGTATTGTGTTAGCAAATGAAGTGCTTTTACTGACGCAGCTCGTGTACTTTTATAGGGACATTTTGTACTACATTGCTCATTTAAAAGGTCAATTCAAGTAGAATCAAAGGTCTGAATGCGTGACAGTGAGCAAAGATAGCACAACCTCGGTCACTTAACTGCCTTTTGATTCTGCACCTTAAAAAAAGCATTTGAAATCCACTTTATGTTTTCAGCAATTTCATATTTGAATGACCTTAAAGGACAAGCTTGGTATTTTACACTTAAAGGCCTGTTTCAAGATTGTTTCTGATTAAATAGAACGGTTAAGATTGAAATTTGGACACATGCTGCTGGTCAGAGAATTTTCAGTTGCTGTGGTAGCAAGATTTGTGGTTTTAAATCTTAAAGGGCTTTAAGTGTAAAATACCAAACTTGCACTGTAAATGATTTCTGTTGTTTTCACAGGATTATACTGTTTTTCTCAACAGTTTCTTACTGTATAATCTATGTACAGTAAGTTACAGTAGATTTAGTTGTTTTCACAGTATTAAATTGTTTTTTCAACAGTTATGTACTGTGCACACAGTTGACAGTATGTTACTGTAGAATTGCAATGCATTCTGGGAAATTATCAGTTACTGTTAATCTAAATACAGCAGTGCATTGACCGCGAAAAACACCACACACAGTTCCAGGGGTAAAATTGCTAGCCTACTAATGTTATTCTTACATTTAAAATAAAAATGTAGCACTGGTTGACCATTAACAGTCATAATTTATGTCAGTGGGGTGTGCATGCGAGCATATTTGACTTTGGAAGAGTTTCTCTGTCGTGTCAGTGGTGCTGCTGTCTTTTCTGCCGACCTGCAACTTCTTCATCTGGTAAGTAATAATTCTTATAATGTGTATGCATACGGATTCTAGCTAATAACTTTAAAGTTATTTAGAATAGCTGACCACGATTTCTATATTCAATTTAATATATTCTAGACATTTTAATAGGCTACTCTTCAATGTAGTCAGGATGTTACTGTAAATTCAAATACATTAGTACGAAATGACGCGAAAAATATAACCACAACAAGCTGCCATTTTATGAAGAACTCGACTCTTCAGTTCTCCCTCTGTAAGAACACGCAGGCCGTGCATCGCGTCGCTGTCGGTCGGCAACGTTTTCGCCATACATCTGGTTAGTAATTCATATTTTTATGCAAACCATATGAGTTACTTACGTTAACAGATTAACGTTAGAAAGAAGTGGCCGCGGAATGTTCTATAACGTCTGTATGTATAAGTCAGACGCGGATTTCTTTTATGTTGATAGCCTTACTTGATTAAATGTGATTTTATTAACATATATTTCATATGTAACCTCTTACGGTCAAAATGGTCTAATCATTTTGTTATTTACCACGTTAAGTCGGTGGAAGCGCCTGCACGTTCATTATTTTATGACTTACAGGGGTTAGGAATTGCCAATCGATAATGTATCCTGAAATCGGACATCCAAGGTTAGGATTCGGATTTATTGTTATAAAATTAAAGTGCCGATTCCTCTTATTGATTTTTTCACGCTTATTTTCGTGTAAATCCTGACCTGGCGTTCAACGTTAACTTAACGTTACCTCAGTGATAAAGTTGGACCGCGGAAAGCGCCCAAGGTGTATTTTTGTCCAAAATACAAAGCTATGTGTGACATTTACAGTATTTCTTGTGGTCTTTGTTAATCTTTGGTTATCATTAACGACACATACACGAGGGAGTTAGCCTGGTGTTGAACACTTACTAGCGAACTTAGAATCAACAACAACAAAAAAAACCAGGGTCATACCAACTACACAAACTGCCTGGGGGTGTTCCGGTAGGAACCATTCACTGCATATACTACAGTATTGTCGGCTATAATATCATTGTTTTTTTTTTACTATGTGTAAACTGACATGTACTCATTTGAAAGGAACGGCCTTGTCAAGCTTTTTTTAAGTCATGTAACTTAGTATCACACAAGCAAGATTTAGCCTACGTTTTCACGTGATCGTAAATGAATTGATTTTAAACAACAGTCCAACAAACAAGATTTTAGTATTAAGTGAATTACACTTTAGACATCATTTTGTCTGTTTTTGCTGTTTAGCCAAAACAACAACAAAAACGTACTATATTTTAACTGTCTTGTCTGTTCTCCTTTTCCACAGGTGTGAGCTGTGCTTGTTAAGAAGACCCCTATCCATCTTGACGACCGATGAATTGTAAATCTAATCTAATTTAATTATTCTATTTATCTAACTACTAACGTTTACCTTGGTCCAGTACTGACCCACTGAGAACATTTTAAACGGATTTTTATCCATCTGTGAATTTTGTCTATCTGCAAGTTGTTTAGAATTGTTGTGTGAAAATAAACGTTACTGTACAGTTTAAGGTTTAATTGCATAAAAGCTTGGATAGAAAACTTCTTATTTCAAAAGTTAGAACATAAGTCTGCATATAAATAATTATTGATACCGTAATGCAAGTTTTTCATGGCACATGTGCATGATGAGGTTGTTTTGTGTTAGTTTTTTTTTTTTAAAGGACACTGGATAACTTGTCATTTTGTAAAACTCATCTGGATTGGTGGTTTACTCGTCAAAGCTTTTATAGTTTATAAGTTTATATGTGTCTCCCAGCCCTGCAAATCTGGTCCCTTAGATAGAAAGCAGCCAAAAACCCTTTAAAATCAGCAACTGTGACCAGTTAGACAGTCTATCTCAAACCAATAGACAATCTTAGACTAGTTTAAGCTGTTTTACCCCAGCAGGGAGTGGGTGGATGAGTTGTTATGAACTATCTTTCTAATAGATTGATCAGATAGCACCCCTTTAATCTTTTCTATTTTACCTGTTCATGATAATTTTTGCATGAATTTATGCATAATTGTTCATGATTGTCATGCATGATTTTTATTGTATTATATTACATTTTTATTATTAATGTATTTAATTGTATTAATGTATTTAAATGTATATTATGTAAATGTACTAATGTGTTTGAAAATACACAATAAACCTTGTGCAGTTAAAGCTTCAATTGTTCTTTTTTCTATTTCCCATTAACAGTTAAAATAATATTTCTATGGATTTTCTACAGGTTACACAGTAGCACTATAAAATAAATACAATAACATTTCATACTATACAGTATTATTAAAAATTAACAGTGTAATTCTGTACTTTAATATGGTAAGAAATTACAGTAAAATAATGTTATTTAATTTGCAGTATGCTTAACAGTACTGTAGTTAGTGTTACGGTAATTTTACTGTTAAATGAAATACAGCAAGTACTGGATAATTGTTGCCAGTAAGTTACTGTTAATTTGACAAGAAATTTTTTACAGTGTGTCCTTTAACATATCTTGAAGTAGGTTGCATTTTTAATCACTTTGGTGTTATTTGCATGAGTTTGTGGTTTTCAAATGTTTTGATTGTCTAAATTAAGATTTTCTTTCTTCTGTATTTATCTCATTAGCTCAATTGTTTGCTGTATCATATGCAAGCATTTGCAATATATCAACATAGAACAGCATAGACTGTAAAAAAGAGGAGGCAATGCATTCAAGGAATTCGTAAGAGGTCCCTCAGAGAGCTAGAGTCAAGGTGATGAAACCTTGAATAGCTATACATATTAGCGGCTTTATGGATTTTTTATTTTATTTTTTTATTTATTTTTTTATGTCAATTTGGTTAGATAATGTAAGTGTATTTCAATAATGTGATGGAAAAACAAGAATAATTGAATATAGCTGTTATACAAGTTGGAAGTACCACTTTTGGACCAAAGGTTTTGAATAACCTATAGGCCTACTTGTGCAAATAGTACCAAAGTGACAAATAGTTTCAGCTCTCTCCCTCTCTCTCTCCCTCTCTCTCTCTCCCTCTCTCCCTCTCCCTCTCTCCCTCTCCCTCTCCCTCTCCCTCTCTCCTCTCTCTCTCTCTCTCTCTCTCTCTCTCTCTCTCTCTCTCTCTCTCTCTCTCTCTCTCTCTCTCTCTCTCTCTCTCTCTCTCTCTCTCTCTCTCTCTCTCTCACTTGTTTATGTTCCTTGTTTAAACACTAGTTTATGTTCCAGAAATGTATAACACGATTGATATTTCAAAAATGTGTCCAATTAATTTATTTTCACATTAAGTGGGTTAACTAAGCAATAAGGATTAAGTAGTGTTCTTTGTTGTTTGATAAAAATGTGTGGGCCAAATTAAATATAATGTATATTGTATTTCATTTTGAGTTGTAGCTATGCCACAACAGTGTTGGTGGCACAATTTGATACAGACTTTGTCCTATACCATTGTCCTGATTCAGTCATTTAGTTGTAGCCATATGGGGAATCTCTTTTTTTTTTTTTTTGCTTTATCAATTATTATCAATATTAGAAAGCTGGTAAGTTCTACTTGCATTCTAATTGGGAAAATTGGCCGAGACAAATTGCAATAGAGCTAGCAGGCTTGAGCAAGTCAGATTGCAAAAGAATATTCACACCTAGTGTCCCTGTTAGAGCTGACAATAATGTGAATTTCACTTCCATGTTAGCCTATTGGATTTTATGTTATTAAGTCTAACACATGGGCTAACACCCAGTCATTAAAAAAAAAAAATAATATTGCACTTTTGGCACGTCTGTGCGTGATTTAAAATCTAATTTGTGGGCAGTTTAAATAAGTAGATGGCATCAAATGGCAGAAGCCTGAAAGTGGGCTTCCCTTCATTCCCAGTGCGTGGTTTGATCTCATTTGCTCAAAGCCCCTTGTTACTAGTTAACGAGCAAAGTAGCGATATGTGGGATTTGAAGTCTTTAAAAGTAGAGCTCCTCGTTTCAAAGCGCGAATGTCTAAGAAATATAGAACTTCAATACCCATGATGCACTGCGAAGCTGGAAGTTCAGGCATGTGAATGCAGTATGATTCTCGTAGTAGCGCTTCCTGAATAGAGCTACAGATGCTCATGAAAACATTACACATTTACGTTTTTATTTACTAATTCGCTTCTTGTGTGTCAGAATGAAAATGCAGTTTATAATTTTGATTTCGTTGTTTGTTATTGGAGCAATGGCGGGTAAGTACTCGAAAGAAATGAATGAACAAAACAAGGCATCTGATAAAAACAATAATCAGGTGGAATTCAGGATTGCCAAACTTAATCAGATCTGGGAAAAGGCGTTAAGGGTAAGTGATGTGACTGATTAAAAATATACAATCCGTTATTTTGCCAGTGTTATCGGATGTTTGGATTGTCCTTCTATTTAAATCATCTGTTCTGTTTAGATGCAGCTTGCACCGGTGAGGCTGTCAGAACTGCACAGTGACTTGAAGATTCAGGAGAAAGATGAACTTCAGTGGAAAAAACTGAAAGCAGAAGGTTTGGACGAGGATGGAGAGAGAGAAGCCAAGCTCAGACGCAATTTTAGTAGTATGTTTTGACTCTTTTTGTTTTGTTTAGGTTATAACATTAAAAAAAAAAACATGAAAAGGCTTGGCAAACAGTTTTGTTGACATATTTCTTATTGCAACTGGAAGTTAGTACAGGACATATTAGGACGTATTAATGAAAAAAAATATATGTATAATTTATTTCCAGTTATTCTGGCAAAGTATGGAATGGATGGGAAAAAAGACACCCGCACATTGGACAGCAACAGGCTGAAAGATCATGATTTTAAAGAGGGAGAGACATTTGATGACCCAAGGCTGGACAAGCTGTGGAACAAGGTAACTGACGTTGTGACAAAACAACCACTAAAATGTGTGAATGTGTAACTCATTTGCAGGTTTACAGACTTGTTCACTTATTACTTGCTTTTCTTAAATGTTCTCTACAACCTTTGATCGTCAGGCCAAGTCTTCCGGAAAGTTCTCTGACGAGGAACTCCAGACCCTTCAGAGAGAATTCAAGCACCACAAAGACAGAATCAATGAGTATAACATTGTCATGGACACTGTCAGCAGGACTGAAGGTAAGAGTTTGGTTGTGTTTAGTGCCAAGATATCTCATCATAGGATAATTGTGTTTAGTGGAATATCCAATCAAATTGCCAGGGCGGGCTTTATACGATGATGGAAAGGTGATCTTCAGGGACGTAATCATCACGTTATCAAAGAGCGCTTAACTGGTTTCCCTCAAAGATGACTGCAGCTGGAGAATTGAGATGTATAGATTCCACTGTCGCGTCTGTTGTAAAATGAATCGACAGTGCATTAATTTTAATAGACAAACAGAAAACTGAAATCAAAGCATTTGTCGACACTTTTGCCTACACGATTCGGCAAAAGTGTAACTCATCAACTGGCTCTGATGGTCACTAGGAAGATGGAACGTAATGAAAAGCCTGTGGTTGTTGTGGTTTCTCCTTTGGTCGCACTCATGGAGGACCAAGTAAAAGAAGCAACACTCATTATCTTACTTCTAAAATAACTTAAATAAGTAAGTTGACAACTGTGCTATGCAAAGTATTTGACTTACTGCGTTGCTCTGATTGGTTGTAGGTCTACCGACTATGGAGCAGTTCTAGACTCGCATTCTGACTAGAATATGATTATGACGAACTCAGGCTATAGTTGCGATAGTCTTTTCTTCTCTGTTGTGGCTTTTATCTAAGTGAAACGGCTTTTTGAACAAGAAAAAATATATAAAAAGGGACTTGATCTAGTCCATTGTGAATTGATCACTAGATGGTTGTGGTTTGCTATTCCTGTGTCATCATGATGTGTGTGACATGACAAGTTGTCCCACCCTCATCATCAGGATAGAGAAGATATGCCGTTGTAAGAGGGAGGAAAGGTTATTTTTAATAAAGATTACAAGGCAACATTAATTGAAAAATGATGTACACTGATAAACCATTTATAATAAATACTCCAATATGTCAAGACTCTGAACCCAAACCCCAGACCATACTGCAATATGTCAAATTTAATTTCATGGTGACTAATTTTAAGTGACTAATTTTTACACATTTCTTTGAGACTTTCCAAGGCTTTCAGGTTGGGTTTTTCTATTTCCCTTGTCCTAACTGAGAACTCCCTGCTTTAACCACTGTAGTATGATGCATTATTGGAGATATGAACTAGTCACAACCATAGTAACATGGCATCTCTGTCTTTTGAACCATGTTGATTTGACAATAAAGAACTGTCGTTATTGACGTAGGAGGTGGATAAATATATTCGGCAAATTATTAAAAGGATACTATGCAGGAATTCCGTTTTTTGTCACACAGCGACCCCCTAGAGTTGCTGTGGAGTACTCGTATTTAATGTTACTGTTGTAAATTCACACTTTGCAGTTAAGTGACTACCATGGATACCTAGCGGGCAGAAAACGCTGACAAAATGGTGACAAACAGTGGCCAGCCAGGGGAATTGCAGCCTTGCAAATTTCCGAATGTTAAAATTAGATATCAAGAAAAGATTAACATACTTGGAATGTGTGATCCTTACACAGCACTTGATAATGTTTTCATTGCTTTGAAGCTGGTCTCTACCAGACTTGGAGTTTGGAGATATTTGCATATATCTTATAGAGAATCCGCCACCTTACACCGCACAAAAAATGAAAGCCTACAAAAGTACAGATAGCTGTCTTTTTTTCAAAAGTGGATGGGTTAACAACGCTGTCGTATGGGAGGTGAAAATAGAGTATCTTCATAATCAAAGCCATTGTTAATTATCTTCTCTTATCATATAAAATCAAATGCTGTCTCCACACGCAAGGTCTCTAGCTCGCTTACCTCTCTGCCATGCGCGTGGTTTGGAGCACAATATCGGTCTCGCATGCACGTGGAATCGTGGGTGTGGTGTGAGAATTGGGTCAATTGTGTGAGTCTCACGCTGAATGCTTGAGAGTTGGCAGCCCTGACTGGCATTTATGCACATGTGCAATTTTGACACTTTTAAATATATTTATGGAATGTATGTATATTTAATTACAATGGAAGATACAAAATTTCACTTCATGTTCATGTTAGCTTGCTTATTGTGCCCAAAAGCATGATCTATTTAAAGCTACACTGTGTAAATCTTTTAGTTTATTCTTAGCTAAAAACACTTAAATAAATACAAAATATATGTGCTCATTAATGTATATTTATTTCGTTCAAGTAACAAAGTATTCTCGTGAGTGTATAATATGCCATTGAAAATACATACGGGTAAGGGGTTTTAATGTCGGTCGCCATGTTGCCCCTCCATCCTGAAAGCACATTAGCCAAAGAGGGACATACCCATTAATTCAAGCTTCGCCTTTCGCATTTACGTTTGAGTTAACACTCATGGACGAGGTCGAACTGGAAGCAATGTTAATCTTGGACTACATTGGCCACTAGGGGTGTAACGGTACACAAAAATCACGGTTCGGTACGTACCTCGGTTTTAAAGTCACGGTTCGGTACGTTTTCGATACAGCAAAAAGAAAGAAATGCCAGAGAAATTTCCTATTTGTTTAAAGAAAAAATATTTTTAAATAAGTGTGAGTTTTCCTAGATCTTGAAACTTTCAGGTTTATAAATAGGGGTCATCTTTGAAGGATGAACAAATAATGTTTTGGTCATCACATTAAAAATAACATTTAAATATATATTTATTTATATAATATTTGAATTTTGAAGTGCTGAAAAAAAGATGTGTGAAGTACTTGAAAGCATTTCACCATTCCAGCCAAACTGGTTACAGTTAGTGTTACTATATTAAATCCATGGTGAATGTCGCTGGTCTGTGGACGTAAAGTACTAGTTCATTCACGGCACAATGTTTCTCCTGGTTTCCATGACAGCGCTGTTTGATCTAATAGAGATCTACGGTTAATAACGGAGAAATGTGAATGCATCTCACTAGATCTCGCAGCGATGTTATTACCTCAGTGGCGAATTCAAATGTTTTCTTTACCGGATCTCTTAGGGCCAATCCCAATTCTACCCCTTACCCCTTCACTTTCCCCTTCCCCTCCGTTTTGCGCGTCCACGTGAAGGGGGAGGGCTGTCCCAATTCTCTTTTGGTTGGAGGGGGAGGGCTAGGGTGAAGGGCCAGATAGCCCTTCAAACGAAGATTTTTCGGGAGCACACTTCAAACGAAGGGGTATGAGAAGTGTCACTGCTAACCCAGCCTGGCTGCCCAAGCGACAAAGGAGACCCATAAATTTAAGTATTTGTGGCTTTAATAAGTATTATAACGACAAATAATGATTTGCTTTATGTTACATTCAATATTGTGTTCATATTTACGGTCAGTTTCTTCACAGAAACGTTTGTATAAAAATCGCTAAAATTACTGTAGTTTGCTAACGATAGTCCCGCAACATATTTTCGTCGTCTCCGTTGTTTCCTGCGAACTTCACAAGATGCAAGAAAATAGCTGTAACCCACGCGACAGATAACTGCAGCTGTCGACGGGATCTTGGAAGTTGTGATAAACATCGGCGCATATCCTGTGACGTAGGCGCTAGCGACGACTTATAATGACGTTTAACGGAGGCGTAGTGGTGTCTCATTTCTTAGGGGAATATTTTCACCCCTACGCATTGCCACTCTGTTTGAAGGGTCAAGGGGAAGGCGAAGGGGTAGGGCTAGGGGAAAGGAAAGGGGTAAGGGGTAGAATTGGGATTGGCCCTTAGCGTGGTGTGGTAACAGTAGTGTTGCTTGATCGAGATCGGCTCGCGCTGCACAGATGTTGCTGGTCCGAACTGATAAACGATCCGTGAAGCACATAACGAGTAGCGCAGTTTCGTTCTGCTTTCATTACCCTTGCCATTTGGATGTTGCGCAACGTTGTGTTGGCCGCGTCAGCACGAATTCTGCCGGCAAGAAAAATGGTCCAAGCAATCGTTCGGTTTGTATGCGTACCGAACCGGAAGCCTCGAACCGAAACGGTTCAATACGAATACATGTACCGTTACACCCCTATTGGCCACCGTAGGAGTTAAAACGAAATCGGAATTGAGAGGAACTGAAACTAATATTCCCTGGATGGTCATATACCTTTTCACCGCTAGATGGGGGTAAAAATCACACAGTGTAGCTTTAAGTCTGCATGTCAAACTAACAAGAAACTATGCTTTTAATCACGGGTCAAGTGCTTTAGTTGCAACCACACAAATTTGCTATGCTTGTTTGCGTTATGGTTAATAACACTGAATCGTTTAACTGTATTAAAGGGTTAGTTCACCCAAAAATGAAAATTCTGTCAGTATTTACTCACCCTCATGTTGTTCCAAACTTCTATGTGTTTATTTGTTCTGCTGAACACAAAGAAAGATATTTGGAAGAATGTTTTAATCAAACAGATCTCATTCCCCATTGACGTAGTTAAAACATTCAACATGAGGGTGAGTAAATACTGACAGAATTTTCATTTTTGGGTGAACTAACCCTTTAATAATGACGGAACTTGCACCATATTTGGTTAACACTGCTTTTGGGAAATGCACCCCATTTAGTTTAATAATAGGACTGTTTAAATTTGAACCTCTTCTGCAGATACTCATACTTTTGTCTTCAAATTTCTGTTCTTTCCGTCAGAGATCCATAAGAATGTAATAAGTCCTCTGGAGGGCGAAGTGAAGGAACATGTTCTCCATCAGAAACATGCAGATCTGAAGCAGAGAATGAGGGACCTCAACCAAGGCTTTGAACGACTCCGCAAGATCACCCATGAGGGTTACAGTGATGACAGTGGTGGCTACCTTTACTAAGATTGAATCTGTTTCTCATTAATAAATTGCTTCATGACTTTCTGACACTCTCTTATCTTTACCTATGGCAGAATTTAAGGAGCCAAGAGTCATAGAACTTTGGGAAATGGCAAAACGGTCTAATCTGAGTGAAGATGAACTTGATTCTCTTAAAGTAAGCTTTTCTTATGTCATTGACTGAATGTCTTTAGATTTAGATGTTACTGATAAATATTGCATTTCAGTTTAGTTTTAATATGCATTGCCTTGCAAACTCAAGCTTTTGTCCTATTCTCATTTAGGAGGAACTTAAACATTTTGAAACAAAGGTGGAGAAGCACCAGCACTATCAGGAGCAGCTGGAACTGTCCCATCAGAAACTGAAGCATGTGGAAGCCCTGGGAGACGAAGATCATATCATGAGAAATAAAGAGAAATACAACACTCTTGCTGAGAAAGCACGAGAAATGGGCTACAAGGTAGAGCTGCAAACTGGGTTTTACAATTACTTACATTTTTGTGATTGTCCTATGTGGCTTTTTCATACATTTTTTCTTTACATAGACATGAAGAAAAATATTCTTGTTTTGCAGGATCTTTTTATCATTTTAAAAACTGTACTACTAATGCGATCACGTTTCTTTTTCCTTTTTTTTTAGATGAAGAAACACTTGCAGGATTTGACTAATAAGATTTCCCGAAATGGATTGCAACACAATGAACTCTGAGCACTTCTGTTAGCTACAATTATTCATTGGTCACATATGCTGGAGTTATAAAGGTAGGGCATAATGTACACAAATTTAACGTTTCCATTGCGAAGCAAATGGACTATTTGGTAAATTCTGATTTTATTTTTATGTTACTGTGAGTAGTGATCAGGTCTGCTTTTGTTGCTCATTTCCCATTGAATGTCTTTACAGCAAATGACTACGTGGTGATTTATCCAGCAAGCTTACAGTATGTCATCCACACTCTATTGTGGCAAAATTAGTTTATGACTCAATTTGTTAAGGACAGCAAACGCGCACAGAAACGTGTAACATCCCACAAATGTGGGTGCAAAAGAATTGAACATTCATCTACAAGATATCTGCATGGCATCTCTTTCACACATGAAAAAGCTCTCAAAGTTTTTAATATAAAATTAAGCATTCATTTTAATAATTCTTATTTTTTATTCCCCAGTCCTGAGCATCCTAAGATTTAAAGGTTGCAAAATAAAACCCCTTAATGAACAATGGTGCACAGGCTTGCTTTAATATTACTTCTATTAACAGCTAAAATTTATCAGGAAAAAAAGTGTGCTTCGGTGGAGAAAGAGCAGCCGAGCTCACGCACTACATTACTTATTTTTGACAAGGCAGACCTTGAGTCAAACATAATCTGAATCATTAAATAGCAATGCGTACAGGGTACATTTCTATGATTGGTAGACTTGATCCAACATCCTCACTGTTTAAACAGTTCCATCAGGTATACACCGTCATAAAATTTAGATTTGTCATAAAAATTGTAATATAAATTCCACATTAATTCTTTAATCTATGACACTGTCATTACTAATCTAACAAGTTTGTGATTTAAAATCTTCCTATTCATACAAATCCTATAATCCAGCATTGTAATGAACTGTCAGGAATGTGATCTCCGTAAATAATAGGATTGCTTTTGTACAAGTGCACATTTCATTTTGCAAATTTCATAATAAAACAAACTGCCCGAGCCTTGTTTTCTCTGACAGATTCAAATGGGTGATATGCTGCGCTGCCATTGAGTGATTGTGATATTGCATCAAGCATTTAAATGATGAGCATGTTTAGTCACTGTTGTATCATTTTTATCATAGTACTGATAGTCGATATAGAAATTTCAGAAAATAATATTTGAAAAAAAAAATACAGTATGTTCTCATGAAATATGTAAATGTACAGAACAAAATTGGTCACCAAAGTATATATTTACAGTTGTCAACAGTCAAAGTTGTTTCATGATCTGTTTTTAGATTTATAACTTTTCTAATTCCATGCCAATCTTAAACATGGAAAATAATACACATCCACAAACTTACATAAAATACAATGCAGAAATACATTTAGCGTATAAAGCAGTGGTTCTCAACCAAAAGCCCACCGAAATCCAACACAATAATGAACCTGGTCAAGACCTTGATCCAGAAGTTTAATGAGCTCTGTTCTTCAATAAAAACATTACGAGGCGAGGCTTAAGCCTAGTCCCAGACTAAAATGTATGTTTGAGCTGTTTTAACTGAAAGCAACTTGCACTGACATCTGGAAATATGTCAGGGTCATTATTTTGTCTCAAGATGCACACCAGTAATGTTTTTTTTCTAAGGCACATTTATAAAAGCTACTTAAATTTCCTAATTTAACTAATTATGACTTCAAGTCAATATTCAAGACAAGTTCAATATATTTAAATCATACTGAGCTCTAGACCCTAGGTTGAAAACCACTGATAAACAGCTGAGTCTAAACATCTGAGAGACCACAATTAAAAATTATTCTGTTTTTCAATTCTCTAACTTAACATATTTATTAACCATTACAATTTGAGAGAAACGTCAAATTGAAAAATACATAGAAATTTCAGATTTTCTTAAAGTCCCTTGGTTACTTTAATAATGACTACGACATTTGAGCTGCAAAAACTCCATGTTTTTGTGCTTCAGTGGATGCAAGAAATTTAAAAAGTAAATTTCACAGATTTGCTTACAATTCGACAAAACTATTTCCAGGTTTAACTGAAGGGAAAAAAAAGATTCAGTGTGGTCTCAGGCATTTAAACTCAACTTTGATTACATGTTCAGGTGAGCGTTCCTCTCCTTTTCTGTTCTAGTTCCTGTAGTCTCTCCTCTCGGCCCTGTGCATGCTGGGCTCCCACCCTCTGTGCCGTCTCAGTAGCAGTGATGTCAATGTGGGCGTATTTAGTGCTGGAACCGGCCACTGATCACAAAGGAAATAAAAAATAAAAAAGGATTTATTAACAACTTTTTAAATGTGCAAGATTCTGTTAACATTTATGCCATGATAAATATCTCAATATCTCAGCTCTGGAAGGGTCTAGAGCCTCCATTTTTGCACTCAGATCTTAGTCTCATGGCCCTCTATCACAATCCAGAGTTTTGGGAAGATTGGAGAAAATTATTTTTTCGCACCAAAAAAAAAACCAAAAAGGGGTAACTGTCGGGTTTTTTTTGGGTTGAAATTTTGAGTTGCTCTGATCTTCTTGAAACTCTGGATTCTGATAGAGGGTCATGGGACTTAGACCTGAGTGCAAAAATGGAGGCTCTAGACCCTTCCAGAGCTGAGATATTGACATCCCACGCAGCATTTATGCCATTATAAATATCTCAATATCTCAGCTCTGGAAGGGTCTAGAGCCTCCATTTTTGCTCTCAGATCTTAGTCTCATGGCCCTCTATCAGAATCCAGAGTTTCAAGAAGATTGGAGAAACTTAATTTTTCGCCCGAAAAAAAAAAACGTAAGGGGTACCACTGTCGTTTTTTTTCGGGCCGAATTTTTGAGTTTCGATATCTCAGCTCTGGAAGGGGCTAGAGCCTCCATTTTTGCACTCAGGTCTAAGTCTCATGGCCCTCTACCAGAATCCAGAGTTTTGAGGAGATTGGAGAAACTTAATTTTTAGCCCGAAAAAAAACCCGAAAGGGGTACCACTGTCGTTTTTTTTTTTTCGGATCAAATTTTTGAGTTTCGATATCTCAGCTCTGGAAGGGTCTAGAGCCTCCATTTTTGCACTCCGGTCTAAGTCTCATGGCCCTCTATCAGAATCCAGAGTTTTGGGAAGATTGGAGAAACTTAATTTTTCGCCCGAAAAAAAAAAAACACGTAAGGGGTACAACTGTCGTTTTTTTTTCGGGCCCGAATTTTTGAAGTTTCGATATCTCAGCTCTGGAAGGGTCTAGAGCC